ATGTTATAACTTATTCAAATAAACTCACAACATCAGGTTCCCTTTTGAAAAATTTTGTCACAGTAACAATCAATTTCAATATCGACTTTATGCTGTAATTAGTCATTGGGGATCATTAGAATTTGGACATTGTAAGAATATCATTAGGGTCTATTTTTAGTTTTTAACAACATGCCAGATTTTTCTTTTATTAAATCTGATGGAAAATGGTTTAAGTGCAATGATGAAGTGTGCGAAAGAATAACAGAAGACAAAGTTATGGTAAACATTTATAAATAAGTCTTGGGGTTAGCTTTGTCCATAGTCCTCAGATGCTTATGTTTTGTTTTACGAGCGTGTAGAAAAAAAATTTCATTGTGCAGAAGGAGGCATTCAGTTGATGCAATCTGATTTAAAATTGACTCCAAATGATGAAAAAAAGAAAATGCAACTGGATGTTGATGATATAACACCAAGTAGGCCAAATTTTTTATTGTCATTATAATTATTAATCTTATTATTTATCAGCATTAACAATTACAGTTGATTCAATTAATCAAAGCACTGACTCTGAATACAGCTATCGACAGAGTTTGTAAGTTAATTAGCACTTGATAATATTAAAATTGCTAAATTTATGCAGGAGTAATGTCAATGCAGCTCTACAATGTTTAGTTCATACAGAGTCATTAAGAAAATTTATCATTAGTAAATCTACTGATGGTGAGAATGTTATATAAATAGATCTATTTGTTTTATTTGTTTATAGTTCTTAATAAACAATTAGCTACAGCTTTTTTTGAATTTATCAATGCTGTGTGGATACCTGAAAGGAATATTTGTGAACCTAAACAAGCAAAAGTACAAATAATAGAAACTTACAATCATTGATTTAGCTACCATGGCAAACACATTCATTATAGTCATTTATTGAAAGAAACTTTAAGGGCTATTTACAACAAGATCCTCAGGAGTTAATCTGTAACTTTATTAATAGTTTACATGAGGAATTTATTGAGGTCCTTTCCCAAAGACCATATCTTTCTTTGGCTGAAAATGAAAGCCAATACCAAACAGAGGAGGTTGTTAATAATTTTCCCTTTTTGTTTTATAACTTTGTAATAATGTACAGGACAAAGCACTGGCTTTTAAACATTTTTTTGAGCAATCAGAAGTCATTAGAATATTTTATGGGCAAATGAGATTTGTTTTGGAATGTCTGGGATGCCAAAATGTACTTGCCTATGTTACTTCAGCATGCTGGTTTATCATCTTTCTACTGTTTTAGACTTCTATATCATTCAAGCCACTATTTCCATGGATAGTTCCTTTAGTGGAGAGTACCAAAGAAGAAGATCCTAAGTAATGAACTATTGTATTAACTTAATTATTTGATCATTTTAGGTATGAACGCTATTGCAAAATTTGTAATAGATTAACAAACTTTTTGAAAACATTTGATATATGGGAAATGCCTTCGACCCTTGTGGTCTGTCATGACAGAGAAGGGTTTGCCTGAATATAATTTGTAGCACTTATACATACATATGTGTAGATATAATTTCAAGAAAACAAAGGATGCAAAATTGGAGTTAACGTAAGTGGCAAATTTTATATGTAGTTTATATAGTTTTTTAATTGAAAGGTTTACACTTTCAAAATTCTGTCACAGAGAAAAGATAAGAGTTGAATATCAATTGTATGCTGTTATTGTTCAGTTACCAAAAACTGGGAATTGTAAGAATAACAATTAGTCATGTCTTAAATTTTAGCTTCATGATATTAGGTTTCTCTTACATTAAATCAAATACAGAATGGTATGAATACAATAACA